TTTTTTTTTTTTTTGTCTCATTTCGACGAAGATGTATGCATTCCATGTGCTACAAAAAAAAAATCACAAACATTATTTTAACAAGCATGTTTTGAGTAGGAAATCATTACATAATTTGAAAAAAACTTTATGATAAAACATAGATTCATAATATTATTCAACATTCTACATAAATATTACAATTCTACATGTCAAATACCAACACCACAAATATCATAATGCTAAAAACTAAACAATAAAAACTTAAATTCTCAAAACTAAAAATTAAAACCCCAATATTCATATTAGTTTTGCATCTCAAATCCTAAATACCACATCAATACTAAAAACTCAAGATTACATATAACAACATAGATTAATATCTCACATCCTAGTGCTTTTTACCAACTTTTTGCCTATTCAACTTAGCCCTCACCTTGTCTGTCTCCAACTCATGTTTTAGCTAAGAAATTTTAGAGTTAACAGATTTGATGCTCCTAAACATATTTCTATATTCTTATTTCACAAACAAACAAGTACCTAACATAAATAATTCATCACCATCTTCAATCCTAGGCAAAGTCAACAACATATCCATGCATTCTCCAACGCTATCAATAGATGCATCTTTATAATTCTTCCTTGATGATTCAGTTAAACTAGCTTTGGTGTAACTTTCAACTACATCACAAAGACGATCCAATTGTCTTTGCATGTATGCTGCTCCCCCCAATTTAACTTTCTTTCCTTTAGGGTTACTTGAACTACCATCTTTGTTCTTCCTTTTTTCATTGCTTCTTTGGGTTCACGTAGCCATGATGTTCACCTCATCAGAATCACCACTTCCTTCTTCTAAATCAACAGCATCTTCAACCCTTACTTCACTCACATCCTAATCTGGAAAAACAGCACCAGCAGCTGGGGTCCATGCAGTTTCACCTGTTGTCACTATTTTATCAAATATTCTCTTGAGCTCTACTGCATTTTCTAATCCACAATGCTCAAACTTGGCAAATTCCTTATTCTCCTACAATAATTACATCATAAAGGATAAAATAAATTATGAATTTAAAGTTAAAATTAGCATATAAACATTCACAATTTTAAAATCATTACTAATAACAAAATAATACAACCTCTTTCAATGCAACCCATCGCTAAGGAGTAGCATCAATGGTACCCTTTTCATGGTTCCACCCTAATCCTGTTTTGTTGTTTTAAAAGTTGATTCCACAAAACCCAATCACATTTTAATGAATCTCACTTATTTCTTAATTGTTTATAATTATAAGTTTTGTTTGCTCTTGCATTGAATTTTTGTTCTACATTTTTCCACCCTATTTTATTAAAAGTACTTGTGGGACGATTACCAGCCATAACCTCTTCAAAACAGACCTCACTGAAAATTTTAGTTGTAATTGCATCCCATATTGCCTTTGTCTTTGGGGCTGCCATCTTATATATTTGAAATGATTTTCTAGTTTAAACAATATCTGTAAAAATATAAAATTAACAGTATTAATAATAGTAACATTAACAATCTTAACACATGCTTAGATCTAAAAATAACAAATTAAGCAATGACATAATAGCTCAAAGATACCAAACAAATTTCTCTATTTGAATTAAACATTTTGTGAATATGAGGCGTACTCAGACTACTATCCACAGAACAAAAGCAGTATTAGGTTGGGTGGCTATCAAAGGGGTAGTCCACCTCCTTGAATAGGTTGAACTCCCATCCCAACCCCTTTTCTCTCACCCCTTTCCCGAAAACAATTTTATCAAGTCATGAGGAAAAAAAAATAATTATTCAACAAAGACAAACTGAAAAAGAGACTAGGCTTTGGCTTTTTAGGAACAGAGATATTAAAAGAGAGAGATTGTCATCATTTTGGAATCACTTGAATGCATGCAACAATTTGTAACGAGGAGCTGTCTTGAAACAGAATGAATTTAATTTATACAGGTAAAGATAGAGTACAATTAAAAATGATGACAAAGGTCATGCAAGAAAAAAGACAAAGATCTCAATAATATCGAATATCATTTTTCTTGCCCAGACCAATTCTTATTGTTGTCTTTTATGATACAAGATAACAATGTTAATTATCAGTTTCTCAAACAAAGATCATGTTACGATTCTGTTTGCATTTGAATGCTGATATAATTGAAGAGTACGTAAGATCAGTACAATAAGGGGGAAAAGCCTACCTTATGAGTATAATAGAAAACCAATTCTCGGTTTAGTATATTATCCACTCCATTGCACACCTTCTCAAACTTATGGTAAAAGTCCCCGGCCCACAATGTACCATTAAGTTTTAAATCCACTATCAATATCATATAATTGGAGCCACTGTTTCACATACTTAAGTCTTAGAAAATCTACAAAACATAAAAAATTTTAAAAAGGCTCAAACAACATGACTCACAAGAACACAACTCAGAAAAACAATAAAATCCCATTCTTGTTTTTCAAAGGAAAAACTACATGAAACTAGAAAAGGTTCCCATTTTTTTTCTCAAAAAAGAAATTTCCAGAATCCATATCACTCATTCATATGAACACCCACACATACACAATTAATTATACATTCATGAATATATACATACATAAACATACACGTATGAGATAAAGGTGAGTAGAATAAAAAATTCAAAATTTTTGCACAATGATTTGTAGTTTCTCTAGCATTGAAAGAATATTACATCCATTGATGACCCAATACATATAAGCACATACAACTAGAAACACTGAAGAAATTCAGCCGAATTCCCTCAAAAGTTTAACTAAAGAAAAAAAAATCCTAGAAGGTGAGAGGATTACCGACAAGCCGAGGCCAGCTGCCGATGACAAAATCAACCGCATGGCGGTTTGATAAAAGGAGGTTTTGGGAGAGTGGTATTTATATGCTGTCCCACTCAGAGTCAGTCGTTAGTGAATTATAAAGAAGGTGCCATTTTTGGAATTTCAATTTTTTTTTTTGGTAAATAGAGCGCTAACAGAAGTTATGGTTTGCGCTATCATACTAGCACCAGCAATGCACACTAAAAACAAGAATTCAATAAAATACATGGAATAAAACGATCAAAAGTATAGATTCAACAGCCTTTAAAATCAAACCACCAACCTAAAAAAACTAGAAAAAACAGTAATAAGCCACTGGATCTGGAAGCTTACCGGTTAAAGATTGATGCACACCACCGCATTTGGGATTGATGTCGAAAAACTGAGCTTCAATAGACCAGCAAGATCGGGATAAGGTAAATCGTTCCAATTGGGTGAGAATGAAGAAGAAAAGAGACCGAAAGAAAAAGATACTTACCGATTGGGTACTGTGCACACCACTAGATCTAGGATTGATGTTGGAAAACCAGGCTTCAATAGAGCAACAAGATCAGGATAAGCAAAGCAAAAGTACTTTTTGGGTAATAATGAAGAAGAAAAGAGACCCAAAGAAAGAGATACTTATCGATTGGGACTAAGCAAACCACTAGATCTGGGATTGATGTAAGAAACTGGGCTTCAATACAGCAGCAAGATCGGGATAAGCAAAGCAGAAGTACTTTTTGGGTGAGAATGAAGAAGAAAAGAGACCGAAAGAAGGAGATGGAAGCGATGGCAAATAAACTGGAACAGAGGAAATTGGCAGATGGAGAATATGAGAATAAGGAAAAAAAGGGGTTTGGGTTATGAATGAGGAGGTATACATAGTGGTTTAGTCATAAATTTATTAAAATATAAGAGGTAAAATAGGTATAATTGGCCAATTTCATTAAAAGGAAACAGGAAGCTCCCGCAAAAGCTTCAAATTCTTGCTTCTCAATTTTCAAAAGGTGGAAGCTAACTTTTGCTTCTCGGGAGCTAAAGCCAATCTCAAAAGTTAGGGTGTTTGGTGTAGCTGGACCTTTTGGACTTCAAAAGGTCTTCCCACCAACTACACCAAACACCCACTTAGTGTGTTACACAAATAGCAACAAAATTAAAACTAAAATAAGAGATTAAAGCATTAAAAATGCTTCTCATAATTGATATAACTTATATGCTACTCAAAAATAATTATATATTTAATTAATTTAAAATTTAACATGAATAATATAAGTGTTATGTGCATAAAATTAATGATTAATTGAAAATTTGATATAAATTATACCAAATAATTGATAAATAAACTCATAAAAAATTTTAAAATTTTACCTTTTTTTGACATAAATTTCTGACTCTGTATTAATCCAGTCCTCTACCAGTGTCTGTTATAGACATGCCAAAATGGTGTTGTAGACCTCTTTGGCCCACGCACCATAAAGTACCTCTGTTTTTCTCTCTCTCTCTCTCTCTCTCTCACTTTTTTATCATTGATGCTGTAAACCTTAATTTAGAAGAAAAAAAAAAATGGAAACACAAACGTTAGTTTAAGACCGGGAAAATATAATATAGTACTTTATTAAAAGCTATAAGTCCTGCATGTCTTATAATCCTCAGGTGGACAAAGATTAAAACACCATAATTGGCAATTTTCTTCCGTGAAAATAGAAGAATTTCCATTTTTGTTCCAGAAGCTCGGGGGCAAGAAATCTTCTTGATATCCTCTTCCTCTGCGTACCAACTGGGTACCAACCTTGAAGCATAAGGAGAAAAAGTCTTTAAAAGACTTCTTGATTGTACACTCTGCAACCTCTGCAGCACTCGCAATGTCTGCATTTACAAAATCAAAATACATTTAATTAGAAAAATAAAAATAAGGATTCATAAGATTAAAAGAATGATATTTTGCAGTTAGGTTTGCACGGGAACGCAATGTAATGGCCTTTAAATGGGTGGGACTCCTGCTAGATCCCACCTATGCAAGAGATGAAGTCTAGACTATTGCAGGTTCAATTGCAAAAGCTCTTCTTTTTTTTTTCTTTTTTTTTTTTTTCAAATTGTTCAAAGAAACTGCTGATTACATCGTTCTTTTGAGGACGCAAGTATTGAGTTTGCAGAAGCTGATCGAGTTTTACGGATCTAGTGAGAAACAGAACTCTGCGTCGTAATCACATTGTTCAATTGAAAAAATAGATAAAAATTAATTGGATCTTAAGCAGCTAGGTGTTTCTAGATATTTTCCGTAATTTTGTTTGGTTCTGGAAAAGTAAAGGAAAATGGAAAAGAAAATTTTTTTGCATCTGAAATGTGCAATCATTTTTGTTCTAGAAATTTTCTCTCCTTTCTTCCCACCATCTTTACCGTTGCTTTAATTAATTATTTGATTTATTGTTTATTTTATTGATGAGATAGTTAATTTTCAACATGGACTATATATATATATATTTACAGTTAAAGTATTAAAATTACCCAAACACCATAAATAAAGTTATATTACGATTGTTTTGATGATTTCAATACTCAGATTGCATAAAAATATATAGTTTATACAAAAAAAAATACATTTTTATTTTTAGATTATTACAATTTCTTGAATAATAATGTGGAATTGTGAGAAATATTTGTTCTTATTTCATATTAGGATTTAGATTTTGAGTATATAT